CGTTACAGTACTGTCCGATTGCTGCAGCTAAGAACAATACCAGGAGACTATATACCCAGTTATCGAATATGCTACCATCGTTCGGATTTACACAGGAGCAAGTGGCCTGTGTATGCGAGGTCCTCCAACAATCCGGCAACATTGAACGACTTGGTCGGTTCTTATGGTCGCTACCAGCGTGTGAGCATTTACATAAAAATGAAAGCGTGCTCAAAGCTAAAGCTATTGTCGCTTTTCATCGAGGTAACTTCCGTGAGTTGTACAAGATCCTTGAGAGCAACAATTTCAACCCTCAAAACCACCCCAAATTGCAAGCACTCTGGTTGAAGGCTCACTACATAGAGGCAGAAAAACTCCGGGGTAGGCCTCTCGGGGCCGTAGGAAAATACCGCGTCCGCAGAAAGTTCCCGCTCCCCCGCACGATTTGGGATGGCGAGGAGACCAGCTATTGCTTCAAAGAGAAGTCCCGAGGTGTGCTGAGAGAGTGGTACTCACATAACCCTTATCCTTCGCCGAGAGAAAAACGAGAATTGGCCGAAGGAACGGGACTTACCACGACTCAAGTCAGTAACTGGTTCAAGAATCGTAGACAGCGTGACAGGGCAGCTGAGGCGAAAGAAAGGTATGTCCATATATCAAGACACTCAAGCAGTAATACATTGTAGCGTGTAGCACATTTCTTAAAAGCAGTAAGGGTCTTTTCTGAACAGAATACACACCGGTCGTGTTGACAAATCTCCAATCATTAATTTAATACAGGCCATGACAGTGTTGTTTTTCAGTCTGGGGGCCGTAACAAAATGAGAAAGCAATGAGTGAGGGGTCTTTGACGCAATCCTTTTGCCTTACTAGCGTGCTTGTTAAAAACCGTTATGTGTGCGGACCAGTTTAGGACGGCTTAACTATGATGGACTAGTCCCATTCATTGCTTAGTCTTATCGCCGGACACAAGTGTTTACTTGTCCATTAACGGGGCTACTGGTTTTACAAAATAAAAACGTTTGATATTTTAAGGACATATTTTGTCGGTCCTGCATAGAAAACGTTCTGCCGACAACACTTTCTCTCCACTTTTCCATACCAAGTGTGCGATTAGCATGCGGCCATCTTGGTATTCCTGTTTCCTGCATCTCGCTTCATGCCATGTCATAACAAATGTAGGAACGTTCTGGTAGCATTTTTTAAAAAACTGTCATTGTTTGCCAAAACAGACGTATGTACGTTCGGTAAATACAGCTGAAACCCCTTATTTGTTATGTGAAAATTCCTGTTGAGTTCATTCGGACTGTGAACGGTAAATGAGATTGTTCCTCAAAGGCACATATACCCCTCGAATACCATGTGTGTTATGTAGAAGGGTCACCCATAATACACTGGTCTACTTAAATCACAGCCCAATTCACCGTTTTCAACCTCGTAAAAACAAATCTTATATCGTTCTCGTGTTGTTTTTATCTGTGCAGGGAAAACACAAACGATGGGGACAAGAATAAACTGGGACTGACAGCGGACGACTCGGACGAGGCCAAGTCGATCATATTAAGCCAACATCCAGGCGATAATGGCGAATCTGTTGTGATGCAACACACCGATACGAACTCACAAAATCTTAGTATGTTAGCAGACCTTCAAAAATCCACCATCGTTTCGCCGACTATGACCAGTCTCGCCAGTACGACACCAGCAGCACCCAGCGCCCATGCAGTGAGCGCCGATGTTCTACACACCCAACAACACAACACACTCCAGCCGACACTACTCACGTCCATGTCAACTAACTTGGTGGATCTCGGATCGTAGGATTTCACCCACTGACGATTAAAACTGTGACAGATTCTGCCCGGACCTCATTACATCAACAGGACCCTGATAGAACCCCCTACCGTCGCTGCCGTTTTTGCAACTATACCGCCAAAGCTAGAGGCAACTTACAACCTAAAGCGATCCCAGCTGACTGTGTGTAGAGAGAGTTGAACAACCGTGACACAGGTCTGGACATTTTTTTGCATGTTTGTGCGAGAGCAAATTTAGGTTATTGTTGACAAATGGAAAGGTGAACTATCGGATACATAGCCTTTTAAACCCACCGAATTTATTCTCGAGTATACAATTTTCGAAGATCAATTGCAGCATTTTTATATCAGCAGAATTATTTTTTATTCTTGAACTAAAAGAAATCTGCTCTCGCATTTGTTGTCGGTAAAGTAGTTTACCAGTGCTGACACTGCTTTAAAGCTTTTTTTATTATTTATTTTCCTGAGAAACCTCATATTCTTACCCATTATGTAGCTATAGAAAAATATACTATATGAGATAAAATTGCGTACGTAATATAAAGTAACCTGTATCTTTCCGTCTTTCGGCGTACAAAACGTACCCACTATGGCATGTACCCCTTTCATTAGTGTGTGGCATTTATGAATATATATAAATATTCATATATAAACACATATATATATATATGTGTATATACAAGGAATGGGTGGAAATATTGCCGGCCTGGCTTTGCTTGAACTTTTGGTAACACATGATATAAATTCTAGTTTTAAAAAAAGAGCATCGACGCTTAACACGTTGAGACGGTGTTTCTGGTTATCTTTTCGTCCCTGTAGAACAACGATGCTTTATAATGAGAAGGGGGATTTTGCGTCCATAAATTTTACATGCTTTGGTGTTTATGCGATAAATTGCTCTTTTTATTCAAAGTGGCAATCTCTTAATTGCCCACGCTTTAGACCCTTTGAATGTCACCGCCGGAAAAAAAAGTATGCTGGAATTATTTACAATTAACATTAGGGATTTGTTGGTGCTGTTGTTGTTGTTTAAAATTAGGCGAATAATTATATTTTTTTGCAAAGAAACCGGCCAAGGTGTATTCGACCAACTGTCATGGATAGTTATCAATGTTAAGCGTTCGTTTCGTACTGAACGCCGCATTAGCTGAGGTCTGTTTTGTGATACGGTTCACGCGTTTGATTTTCCACCATTACCCTTCTCTTCAAAGTGTATTTATGGGTGTAAATTTTCAACTTCTACTCACGGCCAAATAGATTTATGTTCAACAATCTTACAAACTCATTTTTTTCGACAAAAACAAAAATCGAATCTGTAATACTGTACACATGTTTTAATGTGTTCCACTGAAATCACGTGTTCGCGCCCACCCCATTGCAACTTGCAGATCTCTAGTAGTAGTATTTTAACTTAAAACAATATAAAAAACACAGCATTCTGAACAAAAAAAAACAAGACAAAAACAATGCATTTGAAACACTTTCGTCACGTGAATGAATAATAACGCAAAGTGCCGAGATACAACGATATTATTCAGTATGAAAGTCAGGCACCTGTCACCTGATTTTGGTCGAAGCTAATACTTCGCGTATCGTGTGACAGTGCTCGTAATAAGGCCGCGGTCTCTCCATCAGCTCAGATACCAACTCGAAAACAACACTGGAACGTTTTGGAACGAATTGTCAGATATCGGCGTGAAACAATGAGCACATTTCACTCGTAAAATAACCATCGAAACTACATGTATTTTCAATTAGTGGCCTTGGTACCCTCCAGTTACGTATGGCGAATTTCATAGTGAATCACTACAGCCGTCTGTGTGAGGGAGAATTTGTCATCCATTTCACCAGTTTACGGCACATGGGCGAACTCGGTTGGTCCCCCACAGATTAATAATTCTGTTGTTGAAAATTAAAAATAAAATCGAAATATCTTACAAGAATATGTGGGTACCAGATTTGGGCATTCTATTTATACACGTATACGTCTGTTGGAGGTTTGCTTGCTGCACGGCAGCTTTATATAAATGAAATTAGGCCTTGTTTTTTTATTTATTTGATGTTGTCAAACATGAGAACTCCCAGATGCATGGTGCCTAGTCATCGCAAAACTATTGTCCTTTTCTATCGCTCACTTCCTGGACATATAACATATTTTATTATTTCTTTTTTTTTGTTATAAAGATATTTAATATGATTGATTCCCTATTATATGTGTACTAATTATATATAGGATACTAGAAAAGCTTGGTTAGAATGTTTGGTGCACTTTGCACCGCACTGTCCTGGTATCCAGTTAAATACACTCGATTTGTTTCTGTCGAGGCATTGTCTGCTCTTTTTAAGAAAGTCTGCACACTTAAAGGCAGGCTTTACGTTAATTTGGCCCTGATTATTGTGCGGTAAACTTCAGTATTATGGTGGCAGCCCAACCAATCGACTGTAATAACATTTATATTCCATTGTGCGCCGCAGTTACACTATTGTAATGAGAGGTTACAGCTTTAACCAGTACATTCTTAGTAGTAGAATAGAGCTCGGTGACTTTCTTGTCGTTGTTGTACTTGTTGGCCATTCCGCCGCCCCTCCTTCTTTTCTATAAAAAGCATAGGACTTGTGCAATGAAAATTAGCGTTTATTGCCGGTATATTAACTGAGCGCAGTTCACCAGCATCGTGGCGCGTATGGCGAGTGATTCCCCTTTTGTGTGCAAGTGAATGCGATCTCACCAACGGAAGGTCGCCTTTTATATGCCATCGAACAAAGGCCAAGGGGCTTTGAGCTGAAGTCCTTTCCTGTGCTCAGGCGTCGGTATAAACTAGGTCCACAGAGAGTGAAGACGGGGCTCTTGGTATTAACTGGGTAGTACACACTCGGGGTTTAGGGGGAGTAAGCAGACACCGTAGTCTAAACGTAACCCTCTATCCGTATTGACACCACCAAAATGGCCGCGACTAGCCCGTTTATTTAAATTTTAAGACGGTTCGGTTTCAAATTCTCCCTCGGCAAGAGCTACATAGTTCTAAAAGATTTGAATATAAAGTTGTATCTAAATAATCGTGAAGCTAATAATGATTTTGAAAAGGCGAAACACGTATAGGCGACGCAAGGCTATGTCAGAGCAGTTGCTCTATATTAAAATCGCATTAAGCCCGAACGAACGGAATGATAGTTTAAAACACAAAGAGAGTTAACTGAGTGTATCGGGATCTCATTTCTCATTTGAATCCCTATTCACTACACTGGTAACTGAAATTAGGTAAAGTAAAGAACATGCGATAAAACCACCAAAGTGTGTAAACCACGCAGTCCCGTTCTCGGTCCCGTTAAAAACCGCTCGTCATTTCTCAGGAACTTGGTCCAGACATGAAGGATCATGCCGGCGTTCTAGTCAGAAAACCGTACGGGCATTGCGTGTCGATGTGGTTTAAATTTGAAGAACAGAGTGGACGATTCTTGGACAAAAGTTTGTAAACTCTCCCTCGCCATACGTATTCTAATATATAGCCCTGAATTTAAAGAACTAATAAATAAACGACTCACACCGAATAATAAACTGTCATATTCAGTCCCACATCCTTGCACGTCTGTACAAAATTGAAGTTCGCCTTCAATTTTGACTTTTCTTAACTCCCCCAAGGATATCTGAAGTTTTTATGGGGGGTCTCGTCAGCTGTCATGGAAACGATTGCAAATGTAATAAAAACAAATCAGGAAAACTTACTTACTTAGTTATTTGTTTGTTTGTTTGTTATTTCAATCGCGCCGGCGAGTCAGACAATCAAAACAGTCAATTCCGTCTGGGGTATAGCCAAAAAAAGCTGTCAGGAGTCGGGGATGTTTTGTATGCAGAGGTGTATATTTCATGTACGTTGCAAAACGATGGGCGCAAGTCATATGTGATAAATATCGTTTCTACTGTCAATGTCATGAGATTTCTTTCCAAAACACGCTCGACATTTTTTTAGCTGTGAAAAAATAAAACAATTACACCAAACTCGAGACAGGCTCATGCTGGAAAAAAGATGTAGCAAAACAGCGGGACTTGAACGGTGTGGTGCTTCTTTGGTTACAATTTATATATGCAGTACAGAAAACGTATACGAAGTATTTCCATTGATGTTAAGCGTGTACGATCTGTGTAATGGCGAGTGCCACCATCGTTGCGTGTTTTCCCATCAGTTGACGGCTTCCTAGACATGTTTTCTCACTTGTACCGTGTGTCTCACACTCAGTATTATCGCATGGTACACATGTGAGTCTGCTTGCAAATCGACCAAATCTTCTTAAATTATGACAACCTGTGAAACCACGATACCCAGGCAGTTTTCATGCTCGTTTTCATTATTGTGCTGGTACTCTTGTGGTTGTAATTCCTTCTTCGAACGTTATTTTTTTTTCTTGATTTGACATGCAGTCCGGGTAACGCTTGAAGCTGCGTCAAACACATGTGTAATTTCTGGTTTAAATTTCATATTTTATCATGTTTGCACAGAGTTTGCTAGACATCGCAACTCAAAGACAACAATTAACTAATTATTTAATTGTTTAATTAGTAACACAATGATGTTCTCATTTTATTAAACAAAATATAATGTTTTAATAACTGCATAAATTGGTTATTAACTTGAAGTTCAAATAAATATTTGTTTAACTTCTTATAATTATTGCCACAACACCCATTACCTATTTCATTCATTGGCGTTAAAATGAAACAAAAACAATATTTTCCCCATGTGGGAAGAATTTTTCGTTTTTTAATATTTTGTATTTTATTGAACAATATAAAGTGTATTTTTGCCATTTTCAATCTACTGGCAACAACTTTAGAAATACATTCTGTTCAATATATACAATGATTAAAAAAAACACAAGTGTTCTACCTATTATTGTGATTCTGCAAGTAGAACGAAGCCAAGAATTTAAAATAGCACCGTGTGTATAGTTTGCGGTATACAGACAAATAAAACGTGAAAATGCAAAAATATTATATCTGCGAATTGCGAGGAATGAACCATAATCTATTCAAAACAGCCAAAAATACTGGATATATAACAAAACTAGTCCCGGCAAGTTCAACCATTTGAATGTGTATGCTTGTATTTTCTCTGGAAACCAATAATATAAATTACGCCGACTACCAACATGGTGACTATACGTACAACTGTATTTGACATATTGTTCACACTGTTCACCCTCGGTGAATTAATTTCTGAAATTAGCAGTATTATTCATGTATTGTATGCAGAGAAACGCTCGGCAATTACTTTGATTTCCGATGTGTACAAACAAAAGAGGGTACGTGAGTGAACTTGTAGCCTGTCTGTCTGTAAGTTTGTTGTCGGTAATCTGGGGCCTCCATTTTATTTCGCGGCTCCTACAGAGAACTGACCTCTGGTATGGCATCGTTAAATCACTTTCGTTGACACTTTCTAAACATAATTGAATCGATGGGTTTTCTTCAACAATGAATATTATTAATAAAAAAAGTTCAGTGGCCGTTTTTAAGTTAAAGACCAACATCAACGATTTTAATTTAAGTGA